ATTTTTAAAATTAAAAGGCGCGGCCATCATTTGCCTTAGAATTTCATTAGGACACCTCTGTTGAAGTTATTTTAATATAACAAGAGCCTTCAGTGAAAATTTTGTACCAAAATAAAATTAAAACAATACGAGAAAAAATTAAATGTGATATGCATCAGGGTGACAATGGATTGTTTCTTTCCCGAGTACCCTCTCGAGGATAATAATAGGAGACCTTTGTTTAAAGGTACTTTAATATAACGAGAGCCTTCAGTGACCATTTTTACCAAAATAAACTTACGATAACATTTCGCGCATGTACAGAAATTTTAATGTGAAAATGTGAACAGAATTTCTGACGCAGGAAGTCAAACCACTGATGTGGCTTGATTTGTTTTTAGAATGCGAAATCACATTCTATCTGAATCATCTGAAATGCAAATGGCGTTCGTTAGGCAAATATTATCGTTAATGTTAATTTGAACTGTTTGCATAATCAGGTAAATTGTTAATGATCTTTTGACTGTTGATTGCCTCGTTGGTATAGTGGTCGAAAGGTGAAATGTTAAATATGCGGTATCAGATTTGAATCACGGGTTAAAATTCTCAGTATCAGCCTGGAGTCAGAAAATTGACGGACTCTCTGGTTGTGTTTTATTGTCATCCTACTGGACTAAAACAGTAAAAGAGAGTAGAGAGTGCACCTGTGTTTTTACACACAATCGTCCGCTATATACTTTCCTATGCAGATAGCTATTTCCATTAAGATCAGCCAGCGGCCTTAACAGTTTATTTGGGCACAGAATCCGGGGCCTGAAATGGATGATTGATGATAATGTTTTATACATGTAATGGTGACTAACGAACACAGGTCGTAATGCAACTCCTCGGGGGTTACATAATTTGGCGTTAGTTTGTTCCCCAGCCCCAAGCATAGGCAACACAACAGACCCCGTTTCTGGTAGGGGAACACCGTTATCAAAAGAAAGGACATGACGTATGTCTTGGTGAACGTGATGTATCCGAGCAGGATTCGTTCTCTCCAGATTGTGCTCAGCAGCCTTCTTCTGGGTCATAAAGACTTCACACAAGACTAACGACTATACTCGGCTGTGTTCCAGTCTGAGTTTAATAAAGGCTAGTATAGTACAGGCCAGTATATTACAGGGCAGTATTTTTACAGTCTGTGAGGCATTCCATCTTAGCCTTCAGTTCTGACAATATTCTAATTTTAATAGAGAAGTTGACTGATTACTACCATCTGCTTGAAACCCTGTTATTGATAATATGAACAATAAACCTAAGTATACCACTGCGAGACTTCAAGACACATTATGTTTATGCTGCGTGGATCAATCCAAAAGTAATTTTTTTAAAAACTTTTGGTTAATCTAAATGTCTGCATGCCTTAAGCGCTATTATACGCAATTATAAAATATTATAAATACGCACGAGTTTTCATACATAATATTATTACTATTAACTTCTAACTTTTCGATAATTTTCTATCAAACATCAACAAAAAAAGTTTAGAAAATCCAAACATGCACGACCAATAATGCTCATATGATCGTGAAAAAAAATGTAGAAAAACATTCTAAACCAAAAATAAAAAAATATTTATTTATATTTACTGTGTTATTAATATTGAGATGCAAAAAAAATTGTTATTAATTGAAACTTAACAGAATTATCTTAAAACGATCGGAAATCAAATTTAATATTACTCTAAGTTTTAGGTATTTATACTCAGGCATTATTGTAAAAACTAGTCTTTTTTACCTGACTCTTTAATAAATGTTTTCATCAATTGTATCTCGTTTTCAAAAGTTTTTATCTAGTCACAATTAGCATTTCAATTTAGCAATCACCAAAGTACACCTTCAGGTCACTATATCAAGTCCGAAGGAATGGTCTCATCATGTCAACAAAACGAAGGCAAACTAGTTTTACTCTTCGAAGAGTTCCAGTAGCGGTTACTCAAGTACATCTTCAGGGCACTTCATTAAGTCCAACACGTATAAGTATATTTATATAAAAATCTGACGTACTTTTTGCGAAACAAAATACTGCAATGAAAATCTATGATTATAAAAATAATAATAATATCTTACCTTGGTCAAATATGTATCAAATTAGGTTTTTGGAATATTTAGCAATTGTTTTTTTTTTTTTTTTTTTTTTTATAGGATAGGGTGACAAACGAGCACACAGTCCACCTGATGGTAAGTGGTGGCTGTGGCCCATAGACATCTACATCTATCCTCGATTACGAATCAAAATGCAGATGCGTTGACACCCGTGAGGACTAAGATGGAATGCCTCGTTTCCAGTAAAAAGGGTCTCCGGTTCTCTACACTCACCATACGAAATACAGCAGCATTAAGCTACTATTTCACGCTGGTATTCTGTGAGAGCGTGGTCCTTCCCCGGTCGAGCCGACCCATTCGTGCTACAACTATACTACTAATATAACTGCAACATGGCTCTACCACGTAGTTGTACAGCGATTATATCAATCGCATCAGCAATATCTTCCTTATAATCATTCAAAATTAAAAAAAACTGTGGCATCCAAGTAATTAACACAAAATTCCTCTTGTGCGGCAATCTATCGGGAAGTCCCAAGTTCAGCAGTAGACTTTCATTATCATCATCATTACAGCCATCATGCCACAAAGCACGGCCTCAGCCACTTGCATCCCACGACTTCCTACATGTCTTACCAGGTCGTCACTCCATCTAGTGGGGGATCGCCCTACAATTCGCCTACCGGTACGAGGCTGCCACGCGAGAACTTTTTTCCCCAATGGTTGTCGGTTCTTCGAGCTATATTGGCCGGCCCATTGCCACTTCATCTTACTAATCCGTGGGGCTATGTCGGTCACTCTGGTTCTACTGCGGATATCTTCATTTCTAAGTTTATCACGCAGAGAAACCCCGAGGATAGCCCTGCTGGCTGGCAGTAGACTTTAATAGGCTGTAATGGAATGTATGGATTAAATAGAACTGACAAATAACAATTGATTAGTGCGTGCTTTTTTTATAAAATAAGGGTGACAAACGAGCACACATTTAAGCAGATAGTAAGTGGAAGCTGTGACCCATAGACATCCACATTTATCCTCGATTAAGAATTAAAATGCAGATGTGTTGTCACCCCTGAGAACTAATATGGAGTGTTGTTGTTGATTGTTATTTGTTGTCACTTGTTATTTGACAGTATTTTTTATTATTTTATATTGTTATCAGGAAGATGTTGTTATTCATCATCAGTTTCACTTTCCCCCCTGTCGCCTCTCACGACACCCACGGGACGATATGGGATACTGAGTATTCTTACACCACCACTACACGGTATATGGTAACATTGTAATATTATAATATTTTTTACAGATTGCCTACTCCAGACTCAAGTAATGGCGAGTGGGTACCATATCCGTATCACCTGGGTATTGATCTGGAACCGCAATACGTTACCGAGCTCACTTCCGAACGGGCGTACTTCTGGCGCAGCATTTACTATAAATATGGCGCCGAGATTCCATGAAAATAGACAACGTTAGCTACTTCGTAGATAAGGTTAATTTATTTTGTCTTGATTAAGTTTAAAAACATTTCCAGTCATAGTTATATTGATGTATTGATATTAATTAAGTACGTGTGTCCACTGTACAGCCAAATACAGGGTTATTTTTCAAAGAGTAACCAAATTTTTAACTTAAGTGCAAATATATTAACAATGTTTTATCGATATTGCAGTTTTTGAGAATACGAGTAAATAAAGCTTCTACTTTTATTTGAAATTATCCCAGATTGAATGTGATTTATGGGAAACAACGTTTTTGCCACTCGATCGATCCTTAAGAATGTGTGCGTGGGCAGTAAAATCAATTAAAATAATGCATTACCATGCATTTTGAATTTAAAAGATAAAAAAGGACACAATGTTTGGGACTTTTTTATTTATTTTTCTTCACTATTTGTACTTATTCTGCCTTGTACTTATTATAAACCTTCTCTGCAAATCTGGCCGTTTACTGCAAAATAACCCTGTATATATATTTAATATATACTATGTAGATACTGAGCGATTTAATACAAGTTTTTTTCTTTGCACAACTTCCTTGTAAAATCGACTTACCACCAGCAATTTTTCTGGGCAAAAATTCATAGGGTGGGCCGAAATTGTTTTTTATATTTTCTTTTCGTAATAGCGATAAAAAGGTGCCTTATGGGTTAGAACTAGTATTTATGAAGTATTTTCAAATTCTGTTTTAGTTAAAGTAACAGCCTCCAGATTGACTTTCAAATTTTGTAAAAATATGATTTAAGACGTTTTTTCGCAACCCAGTAAAAAAACGTTCTAATTGAAATTTTACCAAGTTTAAAGTGTTTTTCAATAGGAAATATACTCAAATTTTATTAGGGTAATACTAAACGTATCACTAATAATAACCGTCGGCGTGAGGTGAGGGGGCGGGGAGCGGAGTTTGCATTTGGCGCGTTATTTTTTTCGCATCAATGGCGCTGCGGCTTTTGAGATTAGAGATCGCGTTTTGCTCTGTGTCACAATGGAACGTACTCGAAAGTGTTATAAATGTCCACTGCTTGGTGAATTATATGATATTAAACTCAATATGCTGCCAAAATATGAAGATGCCATCAAATACTACGAGTGGACGAGAAGGCAAGTCAAGTTTAATAATAATTCCCAGAAAGAGCCATCATTTTTGGAAATCGCAGAGTTAGTGACTAAAATTTTGAAGAGATTTGGCTGAAAGCGTCGCTACCACCTGTGACAAATGCTAAAATCTTATCACATCAAGTACAAAAACCTTCTCAAATCCCTTCCCAAAATACCTAAGAAAAACATTGACACGTTTCAGCGCGACAACAAAGCTCTCTTCGACATTTGTTCCTGCAAATGCAAGGACTTGAGCTCTTGCACCTGCTCTAAGGAACGAAAATTACCTACTGCTGAACGTGATTTTCTGATTGATCAACGCACCTCTAGAAAAATGATAATAGGAAATGTCGAAGTTGCTACTACAAATCAACTCAGAAAGACATTGAAAAGAAAATTTTCTAAGCAGCAATCCGCCCAGAAAAATCAATTGGAACGAGTCGAAGTATCCACAGACCTACAACTTATTTCTTCTTCGTCTTCAATCACCGACGAAACCGATTGTGATGATTTCTTAGTGTTCGAGGAGCCCGGTACGTCTCAGCAAGAGAAGACATACCAGGATATGGATTTTTCTCCGACAGGGCAGGAGCTGCTATTGCTTCAGTAGTTTTGAAAACTACAAACACGGCTGCCCCAGTAATTAACAAAAACAAATTGCGCCGGGAGAGAAGCAAAACACGAAAAATCATAATATCTAAAGACAAACCCCAACAAATACCCGCATTATATTTTGATGCTCGAAAAGATAAAACTCTCATAATGACAAGAAAAGGAGAGAAATATTACAGAAGGACGATACGGGAGGAGCATATTTCACTTATTAAGGAACCAGGCTCTATTTACTTGAGTCACGTTACACCAAGCTCGGGAACTTCTAAAGATGAACTTCTAAAGTGAAGGCAATTACGGACTACTTTTTAAATGAAAACATATCTATGGGTGATTTACTGGCTATTGGATGCAATGGGACAAATGTAATCTTGGAAACTATGAAGGTGTCATACGTTTAATAGAAAATCAATTAAAAAATCCTCTGCAATGGATTGTTTGCTTGCTACATATGAACGAACTGCCACTGCGGCATTTATTCGAGCATATTGATGGCGCTACAACGGGACCGAATACTTTTGCGGGGAAAATCGGAAAACAGTAAAAAACTGTGAAAAGAAACCCGTTGTAAAGTATCAGGAAATACTGTCGGAGTTACCACAATTGAAAGCCCAAGATCTCAGCACAGACCAGTCTTACCTGTACAGTATTCTTACCTAGGTGGATTGAAAAGTACTCGGCCTAACACAGATCCATTCAATTCTAAAAATCAAATCTACCCACATTATTTAGTTCAGTTCAGACTAGTTCATTGTGTGAAGTTCGAAACGTGTGCGATAATTAGTTGTGATTTTATAAATTTATTAACATATAATCGGACATAATTTCCGCGAATGGAGCAAATCGAGCAGCGTGCCGTCATTAAGTACCTCCATAAGAAGGGGCTATCATCAAAAGCCATCCATGATGCGTGGTAGAGAGAGTGTGAAAGATGAACCCCGCTCTGGAAGGCCTTCGACGTCAACTACTGACGAAAATATTAAAATAGTACTTGATTTAATAATGGGAGACCGCAGATTAAAAATTAGAGAGATAGCCGAGATTATAGGCATCTCTTATGAACGAACTCAAAACATCATTGTCAACGAGTTGGGTTTCCACAAGGTGTCTGCGAGGTGGGTTCCGCGACTGCTTTCAGTTGAACAAAAAAGGACGCGATTGACTATTTCACGCGACTGTTTGGAGTTATTTGAAGCCGATGCAGATGATTTTTTTGAATCGTTTTGTTACTATGGACGAAACATGGGTTCATTACTGTACACCGGAAACAAAACAACAATCAAAACAGTGGAGAAGACCTGGTTCACCACCCCCTAAAAAGGCTAAATCGATTTTGTCGGCAAATAAGGTGATGGCTTCAGTATTCTGGGACTCGAAAGGTGTGATTATGATTGATTATCTTGAAAGGGGTCAGACTATAAACTCTGATTACTACTGCACCTTACTAATGACTGAAATTCACAACTGTGGCTTTGAACTGTTACCGCATCCGCCGTATTCACCTGATCTGGCACCATCAGACTTCTTTCTTTTCCCTAACCTAAAAAAGCACTTGGGAGGTCAAAGATTTTCGACAAACGACGAGGTCAAAGCAGCTGTAGACGCATATTTTGACTCTAAGGAAGAATCATTTTTTTTCAACGGTCTAAATGCTTGGAAGGGGAGGTGGCAAAAGTGTATTGAACTTGATGGTGATTATGTAGAAAAATAAAAATATAACTGATTTAGTATGTGTTTATTTTCTTGGTTAGGCCGAGTACTTTTCAATCCACCCTCGTATATGTGCGTCTGCTATCTCGACCGGCGTGCTTCCCGAAGATTTAGCAAACAAGTCACCTGGAAAGATGTCCCATGCTAGGTGGCTTACGGGCTAATCGGATTCTGCGGCTCTATATTTCGACAAAATCCTCGCTTAAAGAGTTGGTGATCTTAGCAATTTAGGTTGTTAAGGTTTACGTTCCGACTTGGTTCTATATCAAGACTCACCCCAGCTGTAAGGATGGAGCGCGACATCTATATAAGCTCATTTATGCTTCTAGATACCTCACAGCAGAGCTAAAAGCTGTAATAGATCCAGTAATTATACGGAATGGATATTTCGCTCATCCAGAGAACTTATTACTGGCAATGTTAACAGACTCGCAACAACATACTCGAGAGTTAGCCGCACGTCGTATCCTGAAAGCCCGTACCGTTCCTCAAACAAAATTAAGACTTTTTAAAGTTCCTGCCCTTAAATTATATGCATCATTTTACGTCGACTTGATTGACTGGCAGAATAACATTACCCAGCCCCCAATCTCGAGAGTTTGAATGACGAAGACCTGCAGTTATTCATTTCACAGAGGTGAAAGTGAACTGCCTCTTCTACGCCTACCATGTCAAACGCAAGCCGTGGAACGATCAGTCAAGACAGTAACCCAAGCAGCAAATACATTATGTACCAAAACTGCTACAGAAGGCTTTATTAGAGCACAAATAGAGTCTCGCAAAAATATGCGAAAATTAGAGAGCAAACAAGATTTTAGGGTTAACTAAAAAATAAGTAAATGTGTATTTTACTTTTTTTTACGCATTTATTTGTAATAATAAACAAATATGTTCCTAAAGCGTGTGTTTTCAATTTAAAAAATATTTTTTTATATAATTTACTACGGGGCTAAGTTTACATCTGGCACTAGCGCCATCTAGTGTCGGGTACCGGAGCGAAGGGAGAGCTTTCCAGAAAATGACATCACTAATATTTCGACCGACAGCGCCATCTGTTGTCGAAACGAAGAACTAAGCTTCTGGAAGCTGACTCTCGAACTTTCGGCGCTTTGTCGATTGGTGCGCGTATTTACTTGAATGTTCTGGATGATTCGGTACTAATGTGTATTTATAGACGCTGCAAGGTGCGATCGGGGAAGTATTGAATTTGGCGAGACAAGCGAAGCTTCGGAGCGGAATAAAGTGAATCAGTGTGATTAATTGTTAGTGTTTTAAGTTTTTATTTGTGTAAAGAAAATTAAAGTGTTAATTTAGATAATTTTATCGGCAATTTTTATTGTCACGAACCTCAAGCTCGTAATATTTTAGCAATCTAAATTAATAAAAAATAAAAATATAAATTTCTTTGCAACTTTCCGCTAAACATATAAAATGATGTGTCTTACCTGGATTGAAGCGCACCTCCCGCCCTCCCTCAATTGCATACACTAACTCCGTCACCACTAGACCAAGCACCACTACTCTCAACACCACTATTCCAGGCAAGACACACCATCGACGATAATACGAAGAGTCTATATTACCTGATGATGCCTCGTGTAGAGGCGAAACACGTGTCGTATTATCGTCGATGGTTTGTCTTGCCTGGAATAGTGGTGTTGAGAGTAGTGGTGCTTGGTCTAGTGGTGACGGAGTTAGTGTATGCAATTGAGGGAGGGCGGGAGGTGCGCTTCAATCCAGGTAAGACACATCATTTTATATGTTTAGCGGAAAGTTGCAAAGAAATTTATATTTTTATTTTTTATTATAATGGATTTCCGCAAAGTAACGCCTGATTCTATCAACAATCTAAATTAAGTTGCCAAAGTTGTTTTATTAACAACTTATTATACGCAACTGTGAGAACAACGAAACTCATTATGTCCCATATACAATGGAGAAAATGTATTGCTTAGTACACATGCGCAGGAATATTGTCAGTGATCTGAATAACGCGGTTTGCAACAAATGTCTGACACTTTTGTGGCGAACGCTTTATCCCGTATAGACCTACCTTTGAATATACGAAGGTATATACTGAGATTGCGAGTGTAAAACAGTAATTTTGAAGGACTGTGCAAAGCGGTTTTGAGAAAAAAATCGCTTCACAAAGCTCGAGTCGTGCAATAGATAGTGGCTTTGTTGGTGCTTTTTTTTATAGAAGAGGCAAGCGAGCATGCGGCTCACCTGATGTTAAGTGACTACCGCCGCCCATGATCAACCGCAACACCAGGAGAATTGCGGGTGCGTTGCCGGACCTTTAGAAAGGAGTAAGCTCTTTTCTTGAAGGTCCCCAGGTCGTATCGGTCCGGAAAAATCGCCGGTGGTAAACTATTCCACAGAGAGGTTGTACGTGGAAGAAAACTCCTTGTGAAACGTACAGTGGTGGACCGCCAAGCATCCAGATGGTGTGGATGGTATCGGGACGTTTGACGTGTAGTGCGTTCACGAAATTTGGCGGCTGGGATTAATCCGAACAATTCCTCAGAGCACTCCCCGTGATAGATGCGATAAAATACGCAAAGAGATGCAACATCTCTTCGCAGCGCCAGTGAATCGAGCCGATCGGAAAGCACTCGGTCGTCGACGATTCGAGCCGCTCTGCGCTGGATGCGGTCAAGTGGAAGAAGCTGGTACTGGGGAGCCCCAGCCCAGAGATGGGAACAGTATTCCATGTGCGGCCGAACCTGCGCCTTATAAAGTTGCAGGCGGTGTGCCGGCATGAAATACTGTCCCGCTCTGCTGAGCACGCCAAGCTTTTTAGAGGCCAATTTGGCCTTCCCTTCCAAGTGACCACGAAACTGCACGTCACTCGATATGTCGACGCCGAGGATACCGATACTGGCTGAGGCAACAAGGGGAGTGCCTTGAAACTGAGGGGATACGACAAAGGGGTTCTTTTTAGCGGTTAACGCGCAAACTTGTGTCTTCTGGGGGTTAAACTGGACTAGATTTAGTCGCCCCCAATCCGAGACTCTGTCCAGCAGAGACTCGACTTCAGACACAAGTTTGTCCCGGCACTCGGAGACGTTTTCCCGAGAAATGTTGGCTCGGCCGGTGTAAAGAGCATCACCAGTGCTGTCATCTGCATAGCAATGAATGTTACGGGTATGCAACATGTCATTGATATGCAGAAGAAACAGCGTTGGCGATAGCACGCAGTCCTGTGGAACACCAGCATTAATAGGCTTGCAATCGGAGCTTGCACCGTCTACAACGACCTTGATGCTCCGATCTGCAAGAAAGCTG